AGGGCAGGCCCTGCGGACACCCCACCCTCCGGCTGGCGGAGCAGGGCCTAGCGGCTGCTCCTAAGGACGAAACCAACATGAGTGGGGGAGGGGAGCAGGCCGACATCCTGCCGGCCAACTACGTGGTCAAGGATCGCTGGAAGGTGGTGAGTGAGTGACCGGCGGGTCCGAGGGAGGGGCGGGAGAGGAGGAGAGGAGGGGAGGAGGGGACCTGGAGACCAGTGAAAACAGGTGCCTTTAGCGCACCAACCTGATGAGGGAGGTGCCCCTGAGCTCATTTGCATAGTGCTTGCAGGTCCTTATTTTTGCCTGCACTTGTGGACACTCGCTTTCTCCCGGTGCCTCTCTCCAGCCCCGCCCTCTCTCACCCCTGTCCCGGCTAGGTCACGCCGGTCCGTCCCAGCCTGGAACAACTCCTGGGTGGAAGTCTGAGCTGGAGCTGCAGAGCTCAGTGGGGGCGGAGGGAGGGTGGGGGAGGGGGCTCTTTCTCTGCCGGACCTTGGAGAAGGGCAGCGAGTGAGCATGTGTCCCTCCGCTTCCGCAGAAGATGGAAAGGCTTGGGTTCCGGGAAAGAGGCCCCGCAGCCTGCTCCCACCGCACCCGCACTCCCTCCATCTTCTCCATCCACCCTCCTCCCCTCGCTGGTTCCTGCGGCAGGTGCAACACGCCGAGACTCCATCTCCCAGCATGCCTTGCTCCCCCAGCCCAGGACTTCAGGCTGCTCGGCCTGCTGGGAGTTGTAGTCCAAGCCAGCCTCCGGCGCGGGGAGGGGGTCTGGATGGGAGGGGGACACTTGAAGGTTAGGGAAAAGGCAATGTCTGGGGAACAGGACCTACTATAAACCAATCCCTGTCCCACCCCCACCCCCGTCTTTCCGTCACATAAGAGCTTCTGCTGGCCTCTTATCACTGTGGGGGCAGGCTGCTGTGCCCTGGATGGCGGGGTGACAGTGTGTGAACTGTGGATCTGCACCTGGGTGGGGAGCCAGGAGGAAGAGAGGGACAGCAGTACAGGTCAGGTCTATACTGAGCCTCTCTCTTTCGGGGTGTGTGTGTGTGTGTGTGTGTGTGTGTGTGTGTGTTGGGAGAGGTTCAACTAGGTGAGGGGTTGAGTGGAGAGTGGGGCCTGGGTGCAGGTGGGTCTCCATGGCAACCAACACTCCGCTGGGCAGGTCCCTTAGAGGCCAGGGATAGGGGCAAAGGTGGCAGCCTTGTCAGGGACGCCTCTGGAGGGGGTCGCACTGGAGGAGCTGGAAAGCTGCAGGTAGGGGCTGTCTGTGTCCCCAGGGAACTTCCTGAGAGGGAGGGTGACAAGACAGAGATGGGGGAGGAGGAGCCAGGGCAGTAATCAAAGGAATGAGGTCTGGAAAAAGGAGGAGTGTTACAGGAGCTTCTTGTGCCGGCAGATTGGAGGCAGGCGGACATTTGCACTGAAGAGGTGAGAAAAAGATGGTGTTCCTGAATTCGGGTTATAACTTTCTTGGGTTTCTTTGAGAGGAAGTGGGAGATGAGTGGGAGAGAAGTGACAGGAGGGAGTTAGCGAAGGGGCATGCATGCAGTCTTACCTCTCTTTACCGCTCACTTCCTCCCTGGCCTCTGGACAACTCGCCACGGTGGGTGCCAGACGCTTCCCCTCGGCCATCTCCCCGTGAGGGATGGGACAGAGGCAGGAGGCAGAGCTCAGGAACCAAGAACAAGTTGCCAGAGACAGGCTGCAGCCAGGAGACAATGAGGGCCGGACACTAGATGGAGTATTTACAAATAATAACACTGTATTCTTCTTGAGGCAGGATTCTCAGAAGTAGAATCACAAACAATAATAGTAACAAAAACTTAGCATTTGTTTTGAGCATTTACTATTCCAGAGGCTGTGAAAAATGTAGACACTGTTAGCCCGGTGTCACAGGTGTGGGGACAGAGGCACAGAGATTCCTTAACCTGTCAAGTCACCTTGACCGGTCGGTAGAAGCAGGTCTGTCTGAATGCCGGGCCAACACTAACGCTTTCCAGGAATCAGCCCATCCAAGAATCAGGACCAGAGAGCTGATGGATCTTTGTGACCAATTCTAGCCCAAGAGGAGGGAACGTGGAACCTCCGAAAATTGAAGAAACTGACCCCAGGTCACCCAGAGCTGGGCCGAGAAACCAGGCTTCCTTTTCCGATGTGAATGCTGGTCCTGTTATGTTATATTCTCCTCCAGTGTAGGGAGGCCCTTTGGCAGGGGAGGGGGTCATGAATAGGGTCTGGTGAAGAGAGTTTGAGAGAATATTCCTGTTACTGGGCTGTGGGCGGGGCTGCATTCTGGCTTTCCTGGGCCCCTTCCTCAATCACAAATTACTAAAAATTGTATTTTATGACTGCACTGGCATAAAGAGGAATACATCAATATTACATATTTAAATTTTCTTTTTCACCTAAACGTGAATTTCTCTCTCCTTCTGATTTTAAAAGAAACGGACACATTCTCATTGTCTCCTGAAAGTATTATGGGCCTAGTCACTGTGCCTGCTGTGGCCCATGGATAAGGGCCCAGGGAGGAGGGGTGTTGGGTGAGTGGGTGGGTGACGATGCCCGGATCCCCACCTCAGGGAGGTGCTGTAAAGAGTGGGTGGGGTGGTAAGAAGGGAACTAAGGAAGGAACAATAGACTGGAAATGAATGTGGTAGAGAAATACCAGTAACCTTGGGCACCCTGGGAAATTGGGGAGTCGGTGTCAGAAATGTCTTGGCTGCCCTGAACCCTCCTTACCACCCCCAGCAAGGATTTCGGAGCCTGGAAGATCTGAGCTTGAGTCTCAGCCCCGACACTTTTAACCCCAGTGTGATCAACCGTTCCTATAACGTCATCGTTCAGAGAGTGGGTTTTGCATCACGTTGCCTGGGTTTGAATGTCACCGGCTTTGCTACTTCCTAGCCCTGTGACCCGGGGCCAGGTGCCTACCTCTGTGCAGAACGGCGACTCCTATGACTCCTCACCTGTGTTGTTGGGACCCTTTGGGGACGAGCTGAGATGACGTTTGTGAGCCTGGAGCACAGAACCGAGAGGTGGTGGTTGTTCCACCCCCTTGCCCTTTCCTCCATGCTCACCCACAGCAAACCACAAAGGCATCCAGACGATACTGAAATCTCCCCTGAGTTTAAAGTTCCCCAGGGAAGGCGTGCCGTTGCTTCCCGGAGTCTGCGCCTATCCCTCCTGGTTCTGAAATTCTCCTAGAAGTCAGACCTTCAACTTTTGTCTCAAGTAGAGAGGGACTCTGGTTTCTCACTGTTCTCCCCCCCTCCCTTTTCCTGCCTCCTTCCTGGGCACAAGAGTCTCCAAGATCCCCTCCGGCCTTCCACTTCTCTTCTGGATCCTCCCTTCATCCTTCTCTTTCTAGAGAGGTTTCAGCTGTCACCTGTGGGGTGCTCCCAGTGCTCAGCCCAGCCTGCCCCCTTCTCCCCTTCATTCCCACTGAATAAATACTGGGGGTTAGGGGGAGGGGGGGGCTTAGCGGTGCAGGAGGCTCAGAGTCAGTTACAGGCTGGCGCATCAGAGCGCCTCCATCCAATCATTAGCAGCTGTGGCTGAGTTATTAGCCAATAGGATGCAAATGAAGGCACTAGAGGGCAGGCCACCCGTGAGGGGCAGGCTCCCAGGAGGTGAGAATGGAGCTGTCCATCTTTCTTCAACCAAAGAGCTCAGCACCTTCTCCCTTGTCCCCCCATCAGTGCCAGCAGCACCCTCACTCTCCAGCACCCCTGGGCCTCTGACTTGACATGACTGTCATCCCTCCCTTAACTCAGCTTTGCTCATCTCCGAGGCCGATCCTTCCTCCATCACAGTTCTCTCTGTCTTTCCTCACTACCTGCCCTGGGAGGAGGAGGAGGAGGAGGAGGAGGAGGAGGAGGAGGAGGAGGAGGGGGGGGGCCTGGGAGGTTAGCTCTGCACTGCACTGGCCCTGGGAATAAGCAGACTCACTCCGAACCTCCTTTCCCATATGCTCCCGTGTCCCCTGCCCCGAAGAGGAGGCCCGCCCTGGGTTTGGGCACCTGCAGGGGCCTAGGGAGGGATGTGAGCTTCAGAGCAGGAATGGTCTCCTTCAGACCTTTCCTGGTCTCCTCCCCAAATACTCCCCCATCCAATACCCTGGTGACACCGTTTCGGATTCTGCTAACCCCTTCCGGGCGGTCTGCCCTGAAGCTGGGAGGTTCTGGAAATTGGTTTTCCTTCTGGAAGTTGCTCAGTCTAGGCAGCGGATGGAGGGGCATGATATCGATTGTCTGTCCAGAGGAGAAAAGATTCATGACAGCCGATTACCTCTTCAGAATCCGCGTGACCATGGCTCCATGTCTCTATGAAGTCACACGTCTCATACCCTTTCCCACTGCCCACTGACATCTGGGCGTGTGTGTGTGTGTGTGTGTGTGTGTGTGTGTGTGTCCACCATGGCTGAGCTGTCTGTCTCCAGCACTAGGAGAGGAGGTGGGGGCCCTGGTGGTGGGGCATGGAGGGAGACATGAGGTCCTCCCCTTCAAGGATGGCCCCCGCCCCCATCAGTGAAGGAGACCACCCAGCAGTGGTTGGGGTGAGGAGCTGCTCAGCCTGATCCCTGTGTCCCCCCCCCCCCTCACTGTCTCTGTAGCTGAAAAAGATTGGAGGTGGGGGCTTTGGTGAGATCTACGAGGCCATGGACCTGCTGACCAGAGAGAACGTGGCCCTCAAGGTGGAGTCAGCCCAGCAGCCCAAGCAGGTCCTCAAGATGGAGGTGGCCGTGCTCAAAAAGCTGCAAGGTACGGGCCTAGGGCAGGGGGATGGGTGGGGGAGGTGATGGAGCCAGGGGCCGGGAGAGGTGATGGAGCCAGGGGCCGGGAGAGGTGATGGAGCCAGGGGCCGGGAGAGGTGATGGAGCCAGGCGCCGGGAGAGATGATGGAGCCAGGGCCCGGGAGAGGTGAATGGATCCAGGCGCCGGCAGAGGTGATGGATCCAGCGTCCGGCAGATGTGATTGTAGCCAGCGCCGGCAGAGATAATGTGACTGAGAGCTAGGTAGGTGTAATTGTGTTTGGAGGAAGAGGGACCAGACTGTA